GGCCGGCCTGTGCGCTGGGGGGTGATCATCATGGACTTCCCTGGGGCAGGGCTCCTCCGGCTCATTGTGGAGAGCAACACCTCGCCGGCCAGCAGACACACCACAGCAGCCTCCAGCAACCCCACAGTACCTTCACGGCACCCCCACGGCAGAGGGGATGGGCGCCGCAGCCAGCACAGCTCCGCTCACTGCCCACGCCGGTGTCCATCAGGACGGATGCTGCCCCCAGCCCCACGTCTCTACCGAAGGACGTCAGCGCCCGTAGGGCGAAAGCGGGTTTCTAGGTCTTGCTGGGTGCCGGGAAGTCTTCGCGTGACGGCGGTGTGACAGCGCTGGAGGTGGCAGAGCCCAGGAAGCTGCCCCCCGCACGCCGCTCTCCCCTGAGGAGCCAGGTATGGACCCGGCATGGGGCTGGGCCAACCCAGTCCCCGGCAGAGCAGCAGGGACGGGGGGAAGGGGAAGGTCCTGCCTTGCCTCCTCTCTGGCCGCTGAGTCTACCCAAAATGCCTCTCTGCAAAACAGTCCTTTTCCTTTCAAGGGTAAATAAAAATAAGAAGAAGCCAGGAAAGCACTCCCTATGTTGCCTTGCCATTTACAAGCAGAAAAGTGCAGAAAAGACCTTTTGCTTTTGCTGCTCAGCTGCAAAAGAGCCTGTACCCTTCTGCCCATGGCCGAAGCATAGTTAAACTGGTGTTTGTAACCATCTTGCTGTTAAAGCAGAGCTGCGAGAGGTCAGAGGAAGAGGAGTTCATTTCGAAGGTGACAACAAATGGCTAGGAACATCCTTCCCTTCATCATTTTAGCTGTTGTTTTTTTTTCTTGCAGAGGCTTGCCCCAAAAGTCAGGACTGTTAGAGAGAGAAGCAACTTCAGCAGGCACTGCCGACCCCATGCACGGAGAGCTGGATGGCCACGGCGGCGGTGATTCAGATGGGGCTACACCATCCCCGGGGTCGCACACCTGGGTGACACCGCACAGGGCGAAGCCCGGCCATTTGCCACAGCGTGGGCAGCATGGACAGGGCAGTTTGTAGATCCACAAAAGCAAAGTGGTCGAGACATATGAAAGACCTTAAAATGCATATTGTGCCAGTGCCTGCCATACCTGCAGGGAAAAAAAAAAAATCAGCAATTTAAATAGACCAACAAGTGGCAGGACACAGGAGCTCCTTGGAGCAGAAAGATAACCGAGATCCCAGGGGAGAAAGCATCAAACTGTCAGCTGCGCTGAAGCAGGGAAGTGAGAAAGAGAAGAGGAAAGCTCAGCCCGTCTACCAAAAGGTGAAGAATGTCCTCAAGGATGCTTCTGTCTCAGAGGGAAACCACAGCTCCACAGCTGGGCTCTGTGCCTGCCCGAGGGGTTGCCAGAGGATTTCCTGGCCGGAGGAGAGGACATTGTTTGCTCGGTGCGGGGATGTCCCTGGCTGGAGACACGGCTCTTCGTGCTGATTATGTTCATCCGCTGGCCCCGGGCGGGCTGCAGTGGCTTTGCTTGGGGAGCAGGAGAGGACAGAGCCCGTGCTGCAGAGACCCAAATGGGAGGGGAGGGGAGGGGAGCAGGCAATAGTGCACAAGGGGTGACAGAGGTGACAAACAGGAATCTGTCTCTGGGCTTGCTTTGTGAGACAGGAGAAGACTGAAATCTCTGCATTAAACCAGACACGTGACAAAAGCACTGGTGATGTCCAGGGTGCCAGTGGCCTACTCCGTCGGCTGCCAACGCCTCCACCGCCGGGGTTGTCCCCGTGCCAAACCAGAGCGGCAGCTCTAGGTATCGCTCTCGTGCTGGGAAGACGGGTGCAATCAAGGGAGGGCCAGGTGGGTTGGTGGCCTGTCCCAGCTTTCCAGCTATTCATCCTGTATCTACCCTGTGCCCCAACTCGCTGGTAGGGCAGAGGTTCTGCCTGGGTTTCCCTGGGTGGGCAGAGCCGCTTGTTTACTCCCTTACCGCACAAGCAGTGAGATAACTTCGGCGTTTTCTACGCCCCCAGCATCCTGTTTGGCAAACCCTTATCTGTGCCAGGCATGTGTTGCTGCTGCTGGGTGCCAGGCAGCCGGCAGGCAGCGCGGGCAGCGGTACCTGGCTGGCAGCAGTGCCCAGTGAAAAGGCTCTCCATCACCGGCATGGCAGGGGAAAGGCACGAGGCAGAAAGCTGTCCTACAGCTGAGATCAAAAAAATCACCTATGAGAGGGACCGGGTCGGGTGGGCAGGAGTGATTAGCCCAAAACTACCCCTGCAGCCGGGGCTGCCCCAGTGCCATGAGGTCCCTGTGGGTGTGTGGGGCGCCACAGCCCCTGGGCTCTCTTGGAAGCATCCTTCTCCTTCTGGTCCCAGCTCATCTTTGCAACCATCTCACCCCCTCCAGGCCAGGGCGGCACTCAGACAATACATCTTCCCATGGCCAAACATTTTCAATTTGTGAGAAAGATTTTATCAGGCGCTGCTTTCCTCTAGGGAGGAGGGTGCAGCTGCTCGGGCCGCTGGCCAGGCATCGCGCTGGGACACATGCCCACCCTGCAGCTCAGGGACACCCTTTGGGTCAAACACCTCCTGGGGACCTGCAGGGGGTGAGAGGGGAGCCATCCCATGCCCACACTCAAGGAGGTGCCTCTAAAGCCTCAGAGAGAGCCGCCTCGGCCCCCAGGTTGCAGCGGAAGGATGGCAGCAGCGGGGCAGTGCCCTGGCACGGCGTGGGTCCTCGCCGGTGCCATGCCACGCTCCTGCAGGGGTGCTGCTGGGTGCCTCCGTGCTCCGGTGGGCTGCTGAGCCCTCCCCGGTGTCAGGGGTGAGGGGGGCTCTCCAGGAAGGTGCCCGCTGTATCGCTGGCGCCGGCCGAGCCGGGCGGGCTGTGTCAGGGTGACTCGGTTCCTTTGCGGTTAGCCAGGGGACATTGCACAAGGAGGGGAACAGGCTGTGCCACCGTGGGGCGGGAGCTTCTGCTGAAAACAACACAAGTGTGCTTCTGCATGGCATGCGGGGTGCGGCATGGTGGTGATGGGGGTGCCCCTTGCACCCCCTGCCCCCAGGGTCTCACTCTGCCTGGTCCTGGGCAGGGATGGTGAGGAGGTGCCCCGGGAAAGTGCCTTTGTACCTGCTCCCTTGAGCCCCTGCTGAGTGAAGCCCTGGCTTGCCGCTTGCGCTGTGCCCTCCGAGATGGGTGGCCAGGGGGACAGGATGCGCCTTCCCACTGCCTGGGAAATCCCTGCGCTGCTCAGACCGTAAGGCAGGGACCAACCCTTCCCTGGTAAGCAGGACAGCAGGGACCCAGCGGGGAGCATGTGCCATGCAGCATCCTGAATCCTTCCCCGGGAACCAGCCTTGGAAACCACCTGAGATGTGAAAGGGCTCCTGGTGATTAGCCAGCTCCCAGCAGAGCTGCAGAGCTGATTCGGGTCTTCTCTCCCTCCCACCGTATGCACCTTTTTCCACTACCCGCAAAGCAACCCTCAATACCGGTCCGGCCATGCCATGCAGGACCCCCTTTCTGAGCCCACGTACCCGTGGGCAGGGGGTACCTGCCCCCATGAGCAGCTTTGAACTTGGCCACATTCTGCCCTTGGCAGTGGCAGCCTCTGGCTCTCGGGCACCTTGCCTCTGTTTTTAAAAACAATACCAGAAACTATTTTTAGTTATAAAAATAAAGGTGGCAATAATTTTTTTCCTACTGCTCTGCCCTACCCTGTCGGGTTTCAGCAGAAGTGAAACTGGCAGGGGCACACCTCGCTCCCTCTCAGGACCCTGCACCCACCAGCACCCCTCTGACCCCCAGTGGGTCTCCCACCGCATAGGAGAGGCAGCTCCCACCCTGCCCCGGTGACCCTCAGCATTTGGACATGCTCTCCTGCCCCAGCAGCTGCCCCTCAGCCTCTCTGCCTGCCCGGTTGAGTCTTCCCTTGCCGTAATTGTGACCTCTCTGCACATGAGCTGCTAGAAAGTGACCGCTCCTGAATTACTGGACACACAGACTCATCCTCAGCAATTCCATAAAAATAGACAATTGCAGTAAAATATTTTACGAGGAAGATATCCAGAGTCAGGAACCGGGTTTCATTTAAGTTGGCCAGGTATAGAGTCATTGTAGTGGGTTATGGCTTTCATGGGATGGGTTCCTCCTTTTGTCTAGCACGAGTCCCCTGGGAGCAGCATCAATTTCTCTGGAAATGGAAAATGCATGTGACCTGCATGGCTCTCGCTTGGGCTTTAACTGGAAGTGAGCAGAGTAATTCCTGCAGAAAGCCCTGCCAAGGTAATCTTAATTAGAAGCAGAACAGGGTAAGGAAAGATTTATGATGATTCAAGAGTGATCCAAGGGGAGGTGGACACAATGAGGCATGTTCCTGAAGCATTTGTGGAAGTTTATAAAGGATATTAACAACTCAGGGGAAGTTCCTCTGGCATGTTCTTGGACCTTTCTCATACAGACTTAAAGGCAAAGACAGGAAAATATATTGTGTAAGTAACTGTTTATAAACGGTATATGAAGATTCACAGCCAGTGCAAAAAGCCTGTGAGCGAGGAGAGCATCCGGCGCAGGAGCCGGGAGGCTGCGAGCCACGCTCCCACTCAGCCTGTGTGGGACCTCATCCCACCTCATCCCTCCTCCATCCTCTGACCACCAGCGTGGGCACTGTGATATGGACACGGTGGGTCGGAGAGGTCTCGGTGCCCTGGGCGCCACGGGCTGGAACTGGACACCTCCTGGGGGGCCCTTCTCCACCTCCTGGGGGGCTCGGGCAAGCACGGCTTATTGCGGGTCGGCTCCTGTGGCTGCCATGTCCCCGTGGCAGCGTGGGGATGCACCAGCTCCTGTTCCATGGGGCAGATGCCGAGCTGAGTCCCACCAGGGCTGACCCTGCTGTTCCCCTCCAGTGCCGGGCTGGGAGCGGGGTCTCTGGGGGTGGGAGACCCCCGTGGCGGGGGAGACGGGGGCGCGGGGCAGGATGCGGGCTGGCAGCGGGGCTGGGGCGGGCGGGGAAGAGGGCAAGGGCAGGGAGCGGAGCGCTGCGCAGCTGGGCACGGTGCGTCTGCGGCACCGACATGGTAGGTCCCGCTCCTTTCCTCGGGGATGAGTTAGGGTCTGCCTGGGAAAGGGGGTTAGGGGAGGGCAGGGCTGCGGGCGGGTGCTACCAGGAACCGGGTCTGCTGCCGGGGACCTGAGGGATGGACCCAGGCTGCCTCAGAGAGACCGTGCCCCGGGGCAGCGAGACCATGCCAGGCATACAGGGCACTGCCGCTGCAGAGGCAGATGCCACCCCTGGGTGGGCAGGGAGGGGTGGGGGGTCACGGGGCATGCCCCGAAATTAGGGGCTCCCCAGGAGTGATTTGCACTGCTGGCATGGTCCCCCCGCTCTCCACTACCCAGCTTTGCTGTGTGCACCACCCCCCACCCCTCCCCCTCCAAAAAGTGCCGCACTGGACAGGCTCTTTCTGCAGCAGAGCCATACCTGGCCGGTGGCACTGCGTGTGCCTGTGTGCGAGCTGGTACGAGCAACGTGCCCTTGCGGCTACCAGGATCCGCTTGGCAGCGGTGTGGGTGCTCGGGGAGGTGCGTGAGCCCCCGTGGGACGTGCGTGTTCACGCCTGTCTCCCTGACATGCAGGGCACCGCTGCGGGACTGCAGTCTGCTGGGAGGACGTGGGCTCTGGGCTCTCGCGGCATCTGCTACCTGGGCATCGCTGCCATCGCATGGGGTAAGCTGCTTGCTCGATAAGCCCAGCGTGACCCTGCTGCCGAGGAGAAGCCTGCAGGTCCGGGAAACTGGAGAAGGGCAGCGATGTTGTTTTGGAGGCCCATCGGTCATACCCCCATGGCTGCCAGCCCCAAGGTTGGATCTTCCTGGCTTGGGAGGGGGCTGCATCTGCCTGGGTCAGCTCCCTCCAGCCAGAGCTGCTGGAGGACCGTGCTCCCTCAGGGAGGGCTAGGGCACGTGTGGAGTCCCCGCAGCGGGTCTTTTTCCCCAAATGCTGCCTGGCTGATGGTGTGTTGCACCGGGAACCGGAGAGAGGTAGCAACAGCTCTCCCCCTGCCTATGGAGCTGGGCACCAACATAACCACAGGGCTCACGGGTGCAAGGGTTGGGAGCACAGCTGGGCTGCTGCCACGAGGAATTAAAGCTGCTAATTGACACCAGGAGAAGAAGTCAGAGTAGAAACTAGTTTGGTTTTGCTGCCTGTAGGATATTTCTGTTGCATGTTGGCATTGCACAGAGCAAGACCTGCCTTTGTCCCTAGGCATCCCCTGTGAGCTGGGTGATCTTCCAAACGACCTTTTGTGATTGAGCTAAGGAACCGAGGCAAATGCAGAAGTGTCAGGGGGAGGCTGAGATTTTAGGTCTCAGGGGAAAACAAAAATGCAAAGGCACCCCGAGTGTGGTGGGTGCTGAGCACTGCCCCTGGGGGTAGGCGTTGGGGGCTGCCAGGGGAGCGGAGGGGCCGAAATGCAGGCAAACGGCACCCAGGTGGGGGTTCAGCTCCAGGTGGGACAGGGAGAGGTAACATAAGGCTGAGGGGAAGGAGCAGAGATGAGCTGTGCTGCAGAGAGGGTGTTACTGGTGGAGCTGGAGGAAAGAGGCAGGAGAGCGGGTGGAGGATGGGCAAGTAGCGGATGGGCTCCCTGGTCCTTCTCGGTTTAGGGGATGGGGTGTGCGAGGGCAGCAGAGCAGCTGCCCTGAGCCGTGATGGGGAGGCAGCGAGGGCCAGTACTTGAGTGGTGGGAGCTGAGGCTGGGGCAGGCTCCCAGGAGGCGCCCTGAGCTGCTGTCCTGCAGCCCGAAACCCCCAAGGGGTGAAGAGGAGGGCTGTTGTTGGAAGGCCACGTTTTCCTCAGCTTTGGTTTTGTTGAACAAAGTGGATAGTTTGCTCTTTCACAAGGAAAATCAGAAAAATGATGGAAATTTTGCTCAGAAAAATGCATAATTATTGACCAAACCAGAGCCCTCATTAGACTTGGGGAGCCCTAGATTTGCATCTAATCTGCGATGCCCAGACCTTTGCCTGCATGACCGCAGTGTGATACGCTCCCCTGAGACACATGGTACCCCAGGCCGGTTGTTTGGAGTAAACTTTGACCTCCATCTCACTTTCTGCACAGTTGGAGATATGATCCCTGTATCGCTTTCTGCAGTTGTGGAGATACTTGCTTCTGGGGAGGGGGGAGGAAGCTTTTTTTGTGGCTAAAACCCTTTGATTGCATCAAGTTGTGGTGCAAAATGCTGTAAATAAGAGCAGGGTTTCAACAAAGTGCCCTTCGCTTCTGGGTGTGGGTTCCAGTTAATCTCTGGCTTTGCCCTGCCTGGTAGGCACGGCCAGGATGTGAACTTGACTTTTGCAAGATATTGTTTTGCAATACTGATTTTTACAAGACTCTTAAGACCATCTCTGGTTCAGATGAGCAGCTTGGGATCCAAATGCTTTTGGGGATGAGGGCATACTTGTTGCCCTGCCTCGCTCCAAGCTGACTCTCATGTAGAAGTGTAAAGCAAGAAAACCGAAGTGGTACACTTCTGCGCTCGAGGAAGGAACCATGTTTAAGGAACCATCTTGATGTTGGGTTCCCTTTGGGAAACCTTTGTGGGCACGGGAGTGGGGCTGGGCTTTCATCCCTTGTGCTAGAACAAGAGGTAACGGGCACAAACTTGAACATAGGAAATTCCATCTTAACATGAGGAGGGACTGCTTTACTTTGAGGGTCGCAGAGCACTGGAATAGGCTGCCCAGAGAGAATGCGGAGTCTTCCACATTGGAGACATTCAAAACCAGCCTGGACGCCATCCTGTGCAACCTGCTGTAGGTGACCCTGCTCTGGCAGGGGGGTTGGACTAGATGATCTCCAGAGTTCCCTTCCAACCCTGACCACTCTGTGATTCTGTGAGGGGATGGAATCACTGCTTGGGGCTCTTCTGCCACCTGTGCTCTGCCCACCCCATCCCACATTGCCGTCTGTCTCAGCCTTCACCCTGTCTCCCTCACCTTCCTCATCCCTGTGCCATCCCCCTCTGTCCCACCTCAGTTTCTTCTGCCATGCCTCATCCAGCCAGGTCTCTGTGTACCCTTAGACGCCCATTCTCACTCACACTTGTCCCTTTGTCCCGTACCCTCAATCAGCTGGTCACCGGCATCTCTTGGCCCTGATGCCAGCCCTAGCCCACCCTCACATCCCGAGGGACCCCATCCCTGACCTGGCTCCTGTCCTTTCTGCATTGATCCTGGACCCCATCCTCTCTCACAGGCACAGTGACATGGGTGGAGGTGGGTGCCTGGACGTACCACTACAGTGACCAAGGGGACTACACGTGGGAACAGGCCAGGAACTACTGCCAGACCTTCTTCACCGACCTGGTGGCAATCCAGAACAAGCACGAGATTGAGTACCTCAATAAGAGCCTGCCCTTCCATGGGCGCTACTACTGGATCGGCATCCGCAAGCTGGGCGGCACCTGGACCTGGGTGGGCACCAGGAAGGCGCTGACGAAGGAGGCGGAGAACTGGGCAGCTGGGGAGCCCAACAACCGCCGCTCCAACCAGGACTGCGTGGAGATCTACATCAAGCGGCAGCAGGAGTCGGGCAAGTGGAACGACGAGCCCTGCAGCCGGAAGAAAAAGGCGCTGTGCTACAGGGGTGAGCGGGGGGACCATGGCATAGACCTGGATCGGGTGGGCTGGGGACCTCGGCAGGGTGGCCAGTGGCTCCTGATGACCATCCTCTTTGTGTGCAGCCTCCTGCCAGCCCTTCCCATGCAGCCAACGTGGTGAGTGTGTGGAGACCATCGGGAGCTACCGCTGCGAGTGCTACCCCGGCTTCCATGGCCCCGAGTGCGAGGATGGTGAGCCACCCATCCCCATCCCTCCCTCCCTGCTGGAGAGCAACAGCCCCGGTGGCAAAGTGGGGAAAGCTCGTTGTGCTCCTAACGGGCTGGAGGTGCCGCATCTCTCCCAGTTGTGCAGTGTGCTGAGCTCCAGCCCGAGGAAGTGCGCATGAACTGCAGCCATCCCTACGGAGACTTCAGCTACAACTCCACCTGCGTGTTCGGGTGCCGGGAGGGGTTTGAGCGGCGAGGGGCAGGCACGCTGCGGTGCCTGGCTTCCCAGCAGTGGTCAGCAGAGACCCCCACCTGCACAGGTAGGGCCTGCCAGGGGCTGGGGGGGTCTCGGGGATGTGGCACTGATGCTTTGTGGGCATCAGCCCTGTGTGCCCAATGCTGCTCAGGCAAGCAATGGGCTGGGCTCACCATGACCATGCCCTTCGGGGAAGCATCTCCCCCATGAGGCTGCAATGGGCAGCGTGGCGGTGAGTTCTGCTCTCCCTGGCTGTCCCAGTGCTCTTGCTCTCTGTCCTGAATCCCACCCAGGCATCAGCACCCTGCGTGCACCCAGCACAGGGGCAGGATGGTGTCTTGCCACCTCCATCACCCCAGTGACACCATCTGCATCTCCCCAAGCCCACCCCGATCCACCTCGGGAAGGTGATTGGCATCTCAGCGGTCCTCAGAGAAGAGCAAAGGGGGGCTGCCATCCTGCAGCAAGGGGAAGGGTGTATCCTGGCAGGGCTGGGCCACCGCAAGCGGGGCCAGGACCGGTGAGATGAGGTTAGATATAAGCTGGGAGGGACAGAGTGGGGCAGGAAGCCACAAAGGAGAGAAAGCTGTAGTATGCAGGGGAAGGGAAAGTTCCTGTCGGCAGCTTGAGGGTTTGCAGCCAGGCACCGAGTGCCCCAGAGAGGTGCTGGAGTTTTTGTGGGGGCATGTGACAGCCCTGCTCCACCTTGCCTGTGCTGCTGCATGGTGCATCTGCAGTCTTGCACAAGGACGGGATGAGTCAAGGACTGGAGCAGACATGAGACACAACTGGGGACCCTCTGTACCAGGGAACCCAGCAGGAGGGGTCAGGGTGTGGGCAGGGTCTCTGTATATATATTTAAAAAAAAAAATAAAAAAAAAGCCTACCTTGAAGTTAGTGCTGCCGATGATGCCTGTGCTGGGTGGACCTGTGACCCAACCCAGGGCTTGGTTTAGGCAGCTGAAACCAGCAAAACTTTCTGCAGTTAAGGGAAACGGGCACAGAGATACGATTGAGTGTCCTGTGGCCAGCATCCCCAGTGGTGGCAGGGTCAGGAGCTGGCTCCCAGTTTTGTGGAAGTGCCCCCAGACAAGCTGGGCTGACCCTTCCCACTCCAGGCTTTTCAAGCTCCCAAAGGCTCACTTTCCCAAAGCACAGCTCACTTTTCCTGCTGGCTGTATGTATGATTGACTTTTCTTTTTTTTTTTGCAATGAATCAGACGAGTCAGTTGTTCACCTTTGCTGATAACGAAGCTGTGTCAGCAAGCATTGCCAGTTGGGTTTGCTCCAAAAACGAGCAGAGGTTCTTGCTGTGGTGAGGATGACGGTGCTGTGGGCACTGCGAGGGGTGAGGCTGCCTGCTCTGCCCTGCCTCTGCCTGCAGCCATCATGTGCCCCCAGCTGGCTGCCCCCAAAAGGGGACAGGTTGATTGCTCCCACCCACACAGCACGTTCACCTTCAATTCCACATCTGCCTTCTCCTGCCAGGAGGGGTTTGAGCCAATGGGAGCGCGGATGCTGTGGTGCACAGCTGGTGGGGTCTGGACGGGGACCCCTCCACAGTGCAAAGGTAGAGCCTTGGCTGCTTGCTGGGGTGTGCCTCGGCGCTGGGTTTCGGGGGCCCTGGTAGGCACCTCCAGGGATCCTGCAAGGAACCAGGCTTGCCTGTAAGATGGCTATGAAAGGAAAAGTCTACCAAGGAAAATGTTTGGTGTCAGCCTGACAGCAAAAGGTGCAGGGAATGGGATTTGTTTCACCCAGGCTGGGTGCTGGTGGTATTTGATGTCCCCCCTGGCACTAACCTGCAGTGGTCCTGCAGGCAGCAGAGCCACTCATCCCAGCAACCATTGGGTGCTGCCCCGGCACGCAGCGAAGCACGCCAGGCACAGCCTGGGGAGACTGGCACACAACCCTTACAGCTAATGCAGCCATCCATCGTGGTCCCCTACAGCCCCAAAGCCAGCTGGGTGTCCTTCCCCCTGCCACTGTGACAAGGATGGAGGGAGGTCTCTGCTCCTCTCCAGGGAGGGAGACGAGTAGGACTGCAGCAGTCACGGTCCTTCATCCTGGGGGTTGCAAGCGGGGCTATGCAGGGGATAAACAGGGCTCTGGCAGAGCACCAAATGCCCCCCCAGGAAATCACTCGTATGGCAGTAAAATCATTGTACCCACTACATTATTACTGTTTGTGAAGAGGTGAGACGTGTCTGGGCGAGAAAGGTAAATCAAAGACATTTCATGGTAGAATTGGTTTTGTTTGATTGGAATTCAGCCCTAATATCTAGATTTGACCTCCTCTATCCTGTCTCTGAGACCTGCTCTCCCATTGCAGCCATCGCCTGCCCAGTGCTCAGTGCTCCAGATCGGGGAGAGCTGAACTGCTCCCACCTCCACGGGGACTTTGCCTTCGGCTCCTCATGTGCCTTCTCCTGCCGGACAGGGTTTGCACTGATGGGGTCAAAGAGCCGCGAGTGCACGGCCACAGGGACATGGACTGGGGATGAACCACGATGTGAAGGTACAGTTGCTGCTAGAGCTCAGGGTGTCACTGGCCTTGGGGTGACCCTATAATTTTGCCGAGCCTCTTGTACACAACAGTTTAGCCTTGTAGTCCCCAGGCTTCTACTTGAAGTATATCTATTCCTGCAGCCATCACCTGCCCAGTGCTCAATCCTCCAGATCGGGGAGAGCTGAACTGCTCCCACCTCCACGGGGACTTTGCCTTCGGCTCCAAATGTGCCTTCTCCTGCCAGATGGGGTTTGCACTGACGGGGCCAGAGAGCCGTGAATGCATGGCCACAGGGACCTGGACTGGGGATGCCCCACGCTGTGAAGGTAGAGTTGCTGCTCAAGGTGTCACAGGCCTTGAGATGACCCTAGAATGTTCTTGGGTGTTTTTGTCCTTTCATTGCAATAGTTTAGCCTCGTAGTCCCCTGGCTCCCACTTGAAGTGTGTCTCTTTACCCTGCAGCCATCACCTGCCCAGTGCTCAGTGCTCCAGATCAGGGACAGCTGAACTGCTCCCACCCCCACGGGGACTTTGCTTTTGGCTCCACATGTGTCTTCTCCTGCCAGATGGGGTTTGCACTGATGGGGCCAGAGAGCCGTGAGTGCATGGCCACAGGGACCTGGACTGGGGATGCCCCACGCTGTGAAGGTAGCGCTGCTGTGAGAGCTCCAGGTGTCACTGGCCTTGGGGTGTCCCTAGGATTTTCCCCAGCCTCTTGTATCCAGCAGTTTAGCCTTGTAGTCCCCAGGTTCCTGCTTGAAGTGTATCTCTGTCCCTGCAGCCATTGTCTGCCCTGTGCTCAGTGCTCCAGACCGAGGAGGGCTGAACTGCTCCCACCTCCACGGGGACTTCACCTTCGGCTCCACATGTGCCTTCTCCTGCCAGACAGGGTTTGCACTCATGGGGTCAAAGAGTCGCGAATGCACAGCCACAGGGACATGGACTGGGGATGAACCACGCTGTGAAGGTACAGTTTCTGCTAGAGCTCAGGGTGTCACTAGTCTTGGGGAACATCCTAGTGTCACCCCAGTGTCTTGGTCCCAACAGTTTAGCCTTGTAGTCCCCAGGCTCCTGCTTGGAATGTGTCTTTACCCCTGCAGCCATCACCTGCCCAGTGCTCAGTGCTCCAGACAGGGGACAGCTGAACTGCTCCCACCTCCACGGGGACTTTGCCTTCGGCTCCAAATGTGCCTTCTCCTGCCAGATGGGGTTTGCACTGACGGGGCCAGAGAGCCGCGAATGCATGGCCACAGGGACCTGGACTGAGGATGCCCCACGATGCGAAGGTAGAGTTGCTGTTCAATGTGTTGCAGGCCTTTGCATGACCCTCGGATGTTCTCTGGTGTCTTGGTCCTTTCATTCCAACAGTTTAGCCTTGTTAGTCCCCTGGCCCCTACTTGAAGTGTGTCTCTTTACCCTGCAGCCATCGCCTGCCCAGTGCTCAGCGCTCCAGATCAGGGACAGCTGAACTGCTCCCACCTCCACAGGGACTTCGCCTTTGGCTCCATGTGTGCCTTCTCCTGCCAGACAGGGTTTGCACTGATGGGGTCAAAGAGCCGCGAGTGCACAGCTACAGGGACATGGACTGGGGATGAACCACGCTGTGAAGGTAGAGTTGCAGCTCAAGGTGTGACAGGGATGACCCTGGGATGTTCTCTGATGCCTTGGTCTTCTCGTCCCAACAGTTTAGCCTCGTAGTCCCCAGGCTTCTACTTGAAATGTGTCTCTTTACCCTGCAGCCATCACCTGCCCAGTGCTCAGCGCTCCAGATCGGGGAAAGCTGAACTGCTCCCACCCCCACGGGGACTTTGCTTTTGGCTCCACGTGTGCCTTCTCCTGCCAGATGGGGGTTGCACTGACGGGGCCAGACAGCCACGAGTGCACGGCCACAGGGATCTGGACTGGGGATGTCCCACAATGCAAAGGTAGAGTTGCTGCTCAAGGTGTCATAGGCCTTGGGGTGACTCTGGGATGTTCTCTGGTGTCTTGGTCCTCTTGCCTCAGTAGTTTAGCCTCGTAGTCCCCTGGCTCCTGCTTGAAGGGTATCTCTATCCCTGCAGCCATCACCTGCCCCATGCTCAGTGCTCCAGACAGGGGACAGCTGAACTGCTCCCACCTCCACGGGGACTTTGCCTTTGGCTCCACATGTGCCTTCTCCTGCCAGATGGGGTTTGCACTGACGGGGCCAGAGAGCCGTGAGTGCACAGCCACAGGGACCTGGACTGGGGATGCCCCACACTGTGAAGGTAGCGCTGTTGCTAGAGCTCCAGGTGCCACTGGCCCTGGGGTGACACTAGGATGTTCCCCAGTCTCTTGGTCCCAACAGCGTAGTCTCCCAGGCTCCTTTTTGAAGTGTGCCTCTTTACCCTTGCAGTCATCAAATGCTCAGCACTGGCCGTCCCCAAGATGGGCCAAGCTGCCTGCTCCCACCTCCACGGGGACTTCACCTTTGGTTCCACATGTGCCTTCTCCTGCCAGGCCGGGTTTGTGCTGATGGGGCTGGAAAACCTCAAGTGCACGGCCACAGGGACCTGGACTGGGGACACCCCACAATGCAAAGGTAGATCTCATCATCACATGTGTGTCTGGAAGTCCTCTGTGGTAGCAGACTGCTTTCCCCAGCATCCCCTTTTCCTTAGCATCCCCAGTCCATGGCAGCTCATCCCCTGGCTCCCCAGCCCGCACATTCCCATCCCACCACCAACGGTCCTGTCTTATTGATGCTACTGCGGTGCTTTCTCTCCAGCCATCAGCTGCCCAGTGCTGGACGCCCCCAGCAGCGGCCAGCTGAGCTGCTCTCACATGCACGGGAACTTTACATACAACTCCACATGCACCTTTTCCTGCGAGGAGGGGTTTGTTCGGATGGGAGCAGAGGTGCTCCGGTGTGCGGCCACAGGGAACTGGACCAGACATCCCCCGGTCTGCGCAGGTACGGTGCGAACCCCCCACTCCTCTAGCACTAGGAGGGTCCAGCTTCCTGCAGCACCTCTTGAATGTGGTGGGGGGCACCCCAGCAGCTTGGGCACTGTGATGTCCTTCTGCCAACTTTCTAACGTGCGGGTCTGCGGACCTTTTTCAGAGGATGGTGCCCCCTTCTTAAAGCAAGTCCTGGCTTACAGCAGCGGCGCAGCTCTGGCGGTAGCCGGCATTGTGCTCTCGGGGACGCTCATTGCCCTCCTCGCCAAGAGGCTCAGTGACAGAGGTACAGAAATGCTTTCGGCAGCCCCCCATCACTTTGGCTAGGGACTCTCAGACCAGGGGGTTACAGAGTCCCAGGAGAGGGTGGGATGATCAGAAGACTTGAACAGTGTGACTGCCTCAATCCATGTGTTTTATTTGCTGCGAGTGGCTGTGGTCTGGCTGCCCTTCCTTGGCAGTTTGTCCAGCTGGAAGCGGCAGCAGCTAGGTTTGGAGGGCAGAGACAGGAAAACACTTTAATTGCAAAGGGGAAGGCGACAATTGTTTCAGCTCCCCCTCCCTCCTGTGCTTGTCAAACTTGGTTCAGTTTCAGGTGCTGCTGCTGCAGCTTCTCAAGTCCCTCACTAAACAGATCTGATTATTTCTTTTCTGTCTGCGCTGCCCACGTGGACATTTTGACACCGTTATCAGAGGAGAAGAAGAAGCTCCTGAACCCCACCAGGTGAGAACCATGCTGTGTAGGAGGGTGGCTCTGCCCTGTGCCCATCACAGCCCTGTGGTCACCCCATGCCACCCAGATCCGCCCGTGTGAGGCTGCTTTTACACGCAGTGGGAGCATCTTTGGGGCTGACGGGGCTGTGCTAACCCCTGCCCTTCGCACTCCTGCCATCTTGACACCCTTGTCCCTGTTTTCCAGTGACCTAGGATCACCGGGCACCTTCACCAACGCAGCATATGATGCCAACCTGTGAGGTGAGCGCCACCGAGACCCTCACAGCACCCTGCGCTCTCGCAGCATGCCGGATGCGGTCCCCTCCCGCTTCTGCTGGGAGTCACGCGTGGAAAATTCACCCGGGGCAGCTATCCCCCTGGCTGGGGTGCTCCCAGGTGGGGACACCCTTTGGGGAGGGGGATGGAGGGATGGACCCGCTGCTTTCTGTGCTGCACCGAGAAGGGTGACACCGGTTCCGGCTCTTCTCTGCTCCCAGCCTGGCCGTGACCAAACCCCACCGTATCCCCCAGCGCCGCAGACCCCGTGGGAGCTGCTGCGGGGGCCCAGGGGGCCCTCCCGCCCCCGCCCGCAGTCCGGACCCGTGCTGCCGGGTGAACACCCACGCTGCGTGTCCACTGCCCCCTTCCCCCCCCCAGCCCCCCCGCCAGCGCGGGGAGTGCCTTCCTGCACCACCCACGCACGAAGAGCGCTGAAGACCATCCCGGAGCCGTGGGCCGCCTCCGTGGCCTGCTGCCAGCCCCCCTTCCCCTCACGGAGCTGCCTCCCTCCCCTTGGATCTTCCCCCGTGGCTCCCCACCACCACCACTCGTGCTTGTGTCAGCGGGGCCTGAATAAACGCCTGTGTCTAACGAGCCGCCTCCGTGTGCCTGGGCGCGGGTGGGGAAGCCAAGCCGCTGCCCGTCCGCCGGCGGCCGCCGTAGGTGGGGCGGGGCGGGGCGCTGACCGGAAGGAGACGTGTGTTTCGGGAGGAAGGCGGAAGCGATGGCGGCGGCGGAGGCCGAGTGGGAGCCGGCGGGGCTGCTGCCCGCCCCGGGGGGCGGCCTCGACTGGGGTGAGCTGGGCTGAGCGCGGCGGCGGAGCTCTCGGGGGTGGGGGGACGGAGGATTGGGCCGGGGTCGGGCGGTGGGGAGCTTCCCCGGCGGGGCCGGGCCGACGCTGAGGCCGCTGTCTCTCCCGCAGAGGCGGTGCTGGGCGAGGAGCTGAGCGAGCTGCTGGGCGCCGCGGAGCCGCGGCGGGCCCCGAGGGACGAGCCCGACGTGAGTACCGGGATCCCGCGGGGAGCAGCGCGGTGGGTTTCGGGGCGGCCGCCTGGCAGGAGGCACTCGAGCTGCCGGGCTGGAGCGCCGGAGGCTTACAGGCCTTCAGCCGTTCACCCCGGCCCTGGCTGTTGAGGTGCAGAGTTGTCCACCTGTTAATAAAGCGTCGGTATCAAAGGCAGAGGTTTAAACCCTTTGAGGGATTGGAGCATCTCCCATATGAGGAAAGGCTGAGAGAGCTGGGACTCTTTAGCCTGGAGAAGAGAAGGCTGAGGGGAGACCTTATTACTGCTTACAAATATCTAAAGGGTGGGTTGAAGGAGAATGGAGCCACACTCTTCTTGGTGGTTCCCAGTGACAGGACGAGGGGCAATGGGTGCAAGTTGGAACATCGGAAGTTCCATTCCAACACACGAAAAAACTTCTTTACAGTTCGGGTGACAGAGCACTGGCACAGGCTGCCCAGGGAGGGGGTGGAGTCCCCTTCTCTGGAGATTTTCAAGACCCGCCTGGATGCAGTCCTGAGTGATGTGCTCTGGGCAATCCTGCTTTAGCAGGAGAGTTGGACTAGATGATCTCTAAAGGTCCCTTCCAACTCTGGAAACTCTGTGATTCTGTGAAACGCCAAGGTCGAAGGGGAGAGTGTAAGGAGAAAGCTCGAGGTGCTGTGCCCAGGAAAAGCTGTCTTGGCGCAGACCTAACGAAGGTAAACTTGCCCTGCAAGGCAGTGCCGACGGGAGAGCATGTTTCTGTGTTACGCGTAAGGAGAACTGTGAAGAAGCGTGGGTACGTTACCTCTGCGTCCACCAATACTGTGCTTTATCTCCTTGCCTATAACATGGATTCTTGTTTTCTTGTCCATTTTTTGGATTTTCTCCTTAAACCCTTTTTTTGCAGCCTTGGGCATTAATCCCTGTATTTTTCACTGTCTGATCATACATATTGCTTTTTCTGTCCCGTGGCGTTTGCCTTATGGATTCTCCACACTCTCTTCTTTCCCTTGTGTTCCCTCTGCCCGCTGTGTCCTAACGCATCTCCAGAGCAACCCCTGGGTTATCCAACATAAACCTCAGGTACTAAGAGCATGCCTACAGGTGTCGTAGAGCCACGTGCCGGAGAAAACTTGGGAACTCTGTTTTGTACAAGGGCAGGGTATCGCCCATCCGCTGGTCAGCATTAGTTACCTGTGTGGAGGCTTTTGCTGCATAGCTCAAGCTGTGGTTTTGGGTCATTCTTCCTAAAAATATGCTCTGATGAACTTTTTCTTCATCCTAGCCTGCAAATACTAATTTCTGCGCAGTCTGCAGACTTTCTGAGCCTCCCTTTATGTGGCAAGTTGAGAACGTAAGGAGAGGTACATTTGCAAGATAGTTTTTAGCAGCAAAATCTCTGCTATATATTTGTATACGTTTGGTATGTAATATTTACATTTTTCATACAAGTGCTCCTAAAAACGTTACATTTAAGTAGTGAACTGAGACTTACAGTTGCATCAGTGGAAAAAATGGAGCAAAAACTGATCCCTGTTTTAAAGGTTGTGCAGTAAATATTATACATGAAGTGATTTTTGTCTCCTTAATTCTGTTGGAAAAGGAAGCTGGTGTCCCCGGCTTTAAAAGATGATGGTGTCAGTTTATTCAAGTATAGGGAGGCCTAATGCATACTGTGCATCAGATCTTGAGCAAATCAGTCCTTGTGTGCCTCTTCCTGCTGGTAAACTGACACTGAGGCTGCTTTTATAAATAAAGTGCTTCGAGATGTGATGATGGAAGGGCATTAAGTTAATCGTTCAATTAAGAGGAAGGGGTGGATGCCAACAAATTGCTAAAACTTGTGTTTTGTACAAGGTGGCTCGGTGACTGGACTTAGAACTTTCACTTCACAAATTACTGATAACAGTACGGTAATTAATTATGGTCTTAAACTGGTATGCTCCTTTCCTACATCTCTAAGCTTTAGAATAAGCCTTGTCTTGTGTATTCCAGCTGAGAATTGCCCCCTTAAGGGCTTTTATCTCTGCTGTCTGAAGGCAACTGAAGTGATAGTTTTGTTTTCCAGAGCTGTAAGACTATGAACATAATGGCTGGTATTTTCAGCTTATGTTGTCTTTTTGTATTGTTTCTTTTTCTGAACTGTCATTTCAGGAAAATGATCTCTATAACTTTAATTTTGATTTGGATTTAATGTCTTGGGACTCGGATCTTTGGAATCTTACAGGCCATGCATATGCAGGTAATTTACCTTTTGTATTTTGCAGGTGTGACTATTCCCCCGCACTCCACAAGGGTGAGCTGTTATAACTTTAGGATAGTGGTAACTTAAGTGAAACTGTTTGATGTCCTGCATCTCTCTAATGAGATGTCATGTTGCATTTCTGTAGCATGGGTACAGCTGATGAGGGCTGCCCTACAAGCTAAGCTGTTTAGTATCTTTAATCTCGCTATGTTTTCTGCTGTGCCTTGCTTCAGGAATTAAATAGCTAGTGTAGGACAGTATATTTTTTACTGATCTCCCGTTGTTAAACACTTGTGCAGTAAAATGTCTTTATCTGCCTCTTGCAGATGCAAGCGTGAAGACAGAACCCTTATCACCAGCCACTTCAAATTGTTCAGTTCCTTCTCCGTCGTCTGTGGACTCTCCAGTGCAGAATGTGCCTGTATGCAGAAACCTCCATGTAACACACATAGGAGCAGTCATTCAGAACCATCTGGGTCAAACAAAGGGCCCAGTGATTTACTTGTCTGACCAGCTTCGTGGCATAAGAAGAAACAGCTTATTTTTCCAACCCCAGCAAAAACAACTTCCCTTCAGTGATGTTTCCTTCCTCTCCTGCTGTGACCCATTCTAAAAAGAGCATGTTCAATTCTGTTTCCGCAGTTGTGTGTGTTGGCCTGGTTGCCAAACAAGATGCTTTCTAAAATCTAGCAGTTGCTGGCCTCTGGCCCCCTTCACTCTCCTGATAAGGAGAGGTACTACTTTTGGTTTTCAGTGGTACTTGGCATTGACCAGAATAAAACTGCGGAGCAAAACCTTTCTCCTGTTTGCTGAAGCAGCAACACAGATGTGATGAAAGGCTGTTATACTCTGAACTGCTAGTAGATGCTTTTATGTGTTTCTGAAGCATTAAGACTAGTGCTTGCTTACATGAGAACATGTTCCTTTATGTCTGCAGGATGATATGGACTTCAGCTGTAGCTCCCAGATGTCTCCCATCTCTCTCTACAGCAAGAGTTGCAAAAGCCCTGCATCCCCTGAAGGAGACGGAGGGAAGAAGCCTGCTGTCAGCATCACTTCTCGGTCTGGTATGAAAGATTGGGTTACTTTAGTTTCGCAGATACTGCATGTTGTCTCGCATGCAAATGTTTAGCTAACAGACTCAAGTATATCCTGTCATTTCTGACTTGAAGTTGTGATCAGATATGTCTGTTTTTAACAAATATTATATATGGGTAAACCCCCCACCCCCCAATACTGAAAGCCATGTTATTACTGCTTGAATTCTTTATTCTATATCTTCTGGTCCAACTCTGACCCTTTTTCCTTTCCTAGCAAATAATTCTGCGAGGACTCTGAAGAGGTGTGGTCAGACAGCATCCAGGCCTTTGATACAACCCAAACCGCTTTTGCCTGCTGTACCTGATGCTCAGCCTAACGTTGGCATCCCAGCTAAAACCATCATTATTCAGACTCTTCCCACACTTGTTCCGCTGCCAAAACATCAGCCAGTTGTTAACATCCAGCCAGCACCTCCTAAAGGTAGGAGAATTGTCTTGACTGAGCTAGGTCTTGGGGGTAAACACTATGTCTGTTTGGGATAGTCACTAGAATGAAGTTACCTTTGGCAGCTGGAACGGGAGGGGTGGGAGAAAAAAGAGGGTTCCTACATGCTTTGCTGAAATAGCTTTAGGCTGAGAAGATAGCCTTACTCGTCTCTCATAGACCTATGAGAAACAGCACTCACTGGGGTATTATGTGGAATGGA